TTCTCTTCCTCTTGGCCTACATGCACTGCTCTGCTAGCTAGCTTGCTCCCCGCTGCTGCCTTCCTGTTTTCCCTCTTGCTGATTCTGCTACCTCCCTCCCAACCCTTATACACCCCTTCCTGCTCAGGGCTCTCTTGCCTGGGTTCCAGTGGCCTTTGCCTGCCTCGTTCTGGGGCTCCTTCTTACCTCAAAGAATCTCAGCTGTAAGGGCCCTCAGAACTCATTGGGTCTGATGCTATCATTTGACTGAAGAGAAAACTCAGGCCCAGAGAGGGAAAGTGGCTCCCTTCAGGCCAATTAGGGTAGTTGCAAACTAGGACCAGAGTTCGGGCTCCTGCCTGGGCCCAGCACTCGCCCACTTCTTTCTCCTTTGGGCCCTGCCTTATCCGCCCAGTGCCTAGAAAGTTCCTTTCCCCAGCTCCCTTACCTACACTCATCCCCCCGGCTCCCGCTGCTTCCTCTTTCCTGCCTGCCCCACTCCCCAGCCCAGTGGCCAGGTCTTGATTGACCCCGTTGTCTCTTCCAACAGTACCCGAGGCACCTGTCATCGACACCCAGCGTACCTTTGCCTATGATCAAATCTTCCTGTGCTGGCGGCTGCCCCCTCACTCACCACCTGCCTGGCATTACACTGTTGAGTTCCGGCGCACAGATGTCCCTGCCCAGCCAGGCCCTACACGCTGGCAGCGACGGGAGGAGGTGAGGGGCACCAGTGCCCTTCTTGAGAACCCCGACACAGGCTCTGTGTACGTGCTGCGTGTCCGTGGCTGCAACAAGGCTGGCTACGGAGAGTACAGTGAAGATGTACACCTGCACACACCCCCAGCACCTGGTGAGTACAGTCAGGTGGCTTCACGTGGTGAACAGAGATGTTCACGCAGAGGGTATGGGATGGTCCAGGTACTCGGCTCATTCCCAATGGGCACCGGAAAAGTAATGCAATACAATTTAATGTATATAACTTGTACAATTTAATGTGTGAGTTATACTAAATTCCTCTAGAACTGAACTGCCGGGGGTTCTAAACCCACCTGTGCCCCTTGACAACTCTGTGTCTTGAGCCACATTTTTCTCCTTCTCTGAACTTCAGAGTCCCTTTCTACAGAAGTAATAATAGTATTCAGTAGAGTGGTTTGACAATGAAACTATTATTAAGTGGTATCTGTAAAGACTTAGCTTCTGACTTACAGCAAGGGCTCAGTTGATGTTAGGGAAGTGGCTTGCCGAGTGTGCTCAGCACTCGGGTAAAAGGCAGAAGAGTCCGGGCTGGGTTGAGGGGCCAGGTATGGGCACCAGAGTGTGAGATGGAAGGTTCAGGTCAGTGGCGTTAGGAATGGGACCCAGTGGAACAGGACCATAGTGGAGATGGTCCAAAGGGCAAATCATGGGGAATGGGCTGCAGAAACATTGAGTTAGCTAGAGATGGAACGCTGTTTTCTCTGCCCACTAGTCCACTGTGGCTATTCCTGGCTTCACATGTCTATTTGGGATGCCTCTCTCTTCCCTATGTCTCTATCTCAGTTTTCCACGCCCTATTTCCCTGGGCCCCTGCCAGTTCCTGGTGACTGAACTCCTTGACAACTTGTTCCCTGTGCCCAAAATTCCCAGTGTTTGTGCTAATACCTCACAGTCCCCAGTGCCATTGTGTCCCTGAAATCCTTCCTTCTGTCTCAACCTCCTGCTTCCAGTCCTGCACTTCTTCCTTGATGGCCGCTGGGGTGCAAGCCGAGAACGGCTAGCTATCAGCAAGGACCAGCGAGCGGTGCGGAGTATTCCGGGGCTTCCCTTGCTGCTGGCTGCTGAGCGGCTGCTCACAGGCTGCCACCTGAGTGTGGACGTGGTCCTGGGTGATGTGGCTGTGACCCAGGGCCGCAGCTACTGGGCCTGTGCCGTAGACCCTGCCTCCTACTTGGTCAAGGTGGGCGTCGGGCTGGAGAGCAAGCTTCAGGAAAGCTTCCAGGGTGCCCCGGATGTGATCAGCCCCAGGTCAGGCCCCTTCTGCAAGGGGGGAATGAAGCCCAGGGGAAGGAGCTGGGGTTGGCGAGGGTGGTGATGGGCATCCAGACTTGCCTAAGTGGGACTGGGGCTGGGTAAGAGCAAGGAGCATGGAAGCCAGCCTGAGAGGCTTCAGGACGGAAGAGATGTGGGCTCCGCAGAAGAGACTTTGAGGACTGGTTTTCAGAGTGTATGGTTGGGAAAAGGGTTGATAGGATGCAGAGCCGTTACCTCTTCCTTCCATCTGTCACTCAGGACCAGTCCACCACCCATCTAAGCTCCCATGTCCTGTCCCTCTGTCACTTGGGACCAGTTCACTGCCCATCTAAGTTCCCATGTCCTGCCCCCAGCACCTTATTTCCATGAAAGTTTTCTGCCTGAGACCTCCTTCACCTGCCTCTTTCCCAACATCTCCAATTTCTTCCCTGAAACAAATCTCCAAAGCCTTTCTTGTCTCCTGGTGTCTCTTTAACACCTCCCTCACATTTCCCTCCTGAGCCCTCTTATCCTTCAGCACCCCATTTCTTCAAGATGTCTTCTCCCCAACACAAATTTCCTTTGGAATTCTGTCAACCCCATTCCTGTATCTCTCTGACATCCTGATACCAGTGCACCTTCATCTCTCTTCCAACACCATCTTTCACCATCTTGGCTCTGCTCCTGCCCTCGCCCCACCACGTCTTAATCACGGTGATCTCATCCTTTCAACATCCCCAGCCGTCAAAACTGTATCCTTAACCTGATTTCCCTAGCACCATGATTCTCAGCACCTCCTATCCTGACAAGACCCAGTTCCCCCAGTGCGCTGTAGCGGTGCTGCATCTCTTCCGCTCCATGACGCCTTCCTCATGCACTCTCCTTCCCTACACAGACTAAAGCCTCGAGCCTTACAATCTAACCCCCTCAACACGTATTTACCTTAGTACCTGCAACCTCTCGCCCCCCAACATTCCATCCTTCCAACATCTCAGCTCCAGTCCCTTCCTCTGCCTCCCAACATCTTTCTTCTGGATTTCTACAGATATGACCCAGACAGTGGGCACGACAGCGGTGCTGAAGATGCTGCAGTGGAGGCGTTGCCACCCTTTGCTTTCCTGACCATTGGCATGGGCAAGATCCTGCTGGGTTCCGGAGCAAGTTCAAATGCAGGGCTGACAGGGAGGGATGGCCCAGCAGCCAGCTGCACAGTGCCCCTGCCACCCCGCCTCGGCATCTGTTTGGACTACGAGCGGGGGCGGGTTTCCTTCCTGGATGCTGTGTCTTTCCGTGGGCTCCTAGAGTGCCCCCTGGACTGCTCAGGACCTGTGTGCCCCGCCTTCTGCTTCATTGGGGGTGGTGCTGTACAGCTGCAGGAGCCCGTGGGCACCAAGCCTGAGAGGAAAGTCACCATTGGGGGCTTTGCCAAGCTGGACTGAGCCTTTCAGGTCCCCTTTTCAGACCTAAGCTCTGCTCCCCAAGCCTCTGGGCATCGGGTCGTTTACCCAGCAGCTTCTTCCCCAAACTCTTCCTAACCATGTGGCCCTGCCCCATCCCTTGCCAGCTGTGTCTTCCCAGGGCTCCCTTGACTAAGGGACTCTCCTCTGCTCATCTCTGGATGTCCTTCATTCTCTGTGTTACCTGTTGGCCTAGGCCCCAGGCCCATCAAGTCTGTGCCTCCCCCCAGGCCCTGCCCTTGGCATCTTAACCAAGGCATAGAAAGCTCTATTCCATCCCTGTCCTGTGCTCCCAAAGCGTATTGGGAGGGCAGGCACCTGGAACAGTGGGTATGATTAACAACTCTGCCCTTCGCCTTGCCAAGCCCCCTTGCCCCGTTGACGCTGACGACAGTCTTGGCAGCCAGGCTTTGAGCTTCCCCAGTGAGAGGGAGGAGAACCCATCCTGTTTTATTTGGGTCCCTATACCCTCCAGCTGCATGTCCCTTATGTCCTTCTCCTCTTGCATGCTTTACCTATCCAGCACCCATGCCAACGTGCCAAGTCTCCCTTGGGAACTCAGTTAAGGCTGTTGTCCCCATCGGGTTGGGCCAAGCTGGGCCTCTGGTGCCTGCTCCTGCCTCCCCACAGTGGGCATTACTAGGCCTGTGCTGAGCAACAGCTGTAATTTTCATGGTTTATAAACAATAAACTGTGACACCAGGCACATTTCTGTTTTCCCCGGAGTGAGACCATTCCTGGTAATTTCTGGTCCGACTGACACCTAAGTGTAGGAGGTCCCTAACCAAGATGCGCACAACCTCCTGCTACACCTAAGGCCTAGACTCCAACCAACTCTCACCACCAGGGGGCGCAGTACTGACTGCTAACCTAGAACTTCACCTTGGGCATCTGGACCACAGCACTGGAGGCTGAGGGCGTGGCATTGTGTCGGGACCTAAAGGGGTCAGGGAACTAGAACCACTTCCTCATTCCGAGGGTGCCAGAGAGCCCACCCAGAAGCAGTGGCGGGTGGGGTGGCTGAGGGCCAGGGCCTGGTGCCAACAACACCCGGATCTGTCCCAGCCCTGGCTTATCGCGGCTGTGTTGACTCTGCTACTGTTATCTGTGGTCCAAGGATTTGCTTCACACCTGGACAGCTAAGAATAGAGCTACCTTAAGGGCACTGTGCCAGTTGGAGAGGGGCATGGGCTGGCCTCAGAAGAGACAGTCATGGGCACACACTGAGGCCAGGTCTGGGGCAAGCTCACTGGAGCCAGCCTAGGTTTCATTTCCTCCTTCCTTCAGGGCCTCCAGGCATAGGAGAGAGGCAATTCCTGGATTCTTTCTCAGGCCACCTCTGTGTCACCTCTTCCCCATATCACTGTTTTCAAATGCACCCAGCCCTCTACCCCTCTGTGGCTTCTTGCCTTCAGGTGTCCTCTCCCAAAGATCCCTTCCAGGCCCCGCGTTCTGGCTGCTCTGATCCAAGAGTTGCAGATGAAGAACCACGGCTGGCATAGCTAACCCGAGGCCATCTTTTATTCAGCCATGTTTGGATTCCCATCCCCATCTCCAGGCTTTCTAGGCCAGTCCTTCTGAGAGCCACCATTACCCCAGTGTCCCCCAGGGCAGGGCTGGGCTTCACCAGGCTAACTTGGTTGAGACTCTTGACAAAGCCTCAGAGGAAGGCTGTGAGCAGCCTACCAGAAGTCCTGGTTCACCAGCCCAAATCAGAGTGCAGGGGTCTGGCAGTGACCACTGAGGGAGCAGACTGCTGTGCAGCTGCCCTGAGCAGGTGGGGTGAGTTGCTCCTACAAGTTGGCAGAAGTGGTTGCCACAGCCGGGTTGGCGTAAGAGAGACTGCTATTGCCGTTACCTGCCGAAACCTGAGTGGAGGGGAAATAAATTCCGGGTAAAAGAGTCTTCCAGGTAGAACCCCAATGGCACCTAGGGCTAGGGGCCTGGCAAGCTCTCAAGGGGTTAATTCAGAGTGTGCACCTGCTGGCCCCAGAGCTGCCAGGTGACTGTAAACACACAGCTCCACGGCTCCCTCCGCTCCCCCCCTCCCTCCTCCCCCGTAAGTCCCTAGCCCTCTTGTAGGCCCCACCTGTCTTTCACTCCTTTTATTTTTTAATCTTCTGGCCCAAAGGGCTGTGCGTGTGTGTGTGTGTGTGTGTGTGTGTGTGTGTGTGTGTGTGTGTATCTGGAGGAGGAGGAAAGTAGGGCGAGAAAAGGACATTCTTGTCTCCTTTCCCACCCATTGGCCTTTCGGTCTCACTGGCCTTTTGGTCTCAGGTGGCCACAGTAATTATTTACTAGCTTCTGTAGGGAAAGGTTTGAGGGAGGGAAGAGAGAGGGATCCTTGCTTTCCTAAGAACTCCCTCAGCACACTCTAGAGGAAATTTCTTCTTCAGCAGAGCCTTCCCACCCCACCCTAGCTTTCTGTATCTACTTCTCCCTGACCCCCAGGATGTCAGTGGGAATGCTGCAGGTGGGGCTCCCGGAGGCACAGCATCCCCTCTTCCCTCTAGGCATCCTCAGGAGCACAAATTAGTACAGGTAGGCGGCCAGGTTTTGTTCAGAAGACTGGTAGTGCAGACCCTTTTTTTTCTGTAGTCTCCCAAGGTCTGACCCCCAAAACTCTACCTTCATTCCCACCCTTGCCAGGCCCTCCACTGCTCACCTCTCTGGAGCTCCTTGGGTTTCCAGAGCACCCCTTCAGAAGCCCCCACCCAGCCCAGGTCGCTGGCCCAACCAGTGGGACAAACTTTACCTCCTCGTAGGGGCTACGTTTGGTACTGCCAGGGGGCACATAGCGCCCGTGAGTGTGGTAGGTAGGGTATTCACTCATGGGATGGTAGATGTCCTGGGTTGGAAAGAGGTCCAGCTGCCCATAGCTCTTTCGGCGGCACTGGCACACTGCCTGGGGAGACAGGAGATTGTACTGGCTGGTGGGATTCCATTTACCAGGGGCACACAGCTGAAGGCCTGAAACTTACCAGGGCAATGAAGTAGATGATGGCCAAAGCAACCAAAATGCAGACCAGCACCAGCAGGGCAACACCCCAGCCTGGTACCCCAGGCCAAGACTGGGCAGGGGAAGGGAACTGCATCTCATTCACTAGAAGGGAAAACAGTAGTCAGGGAAGTCCCCAAAGGAGGTGGATCTCCCGCTCCTAGCACCAAAAGTAAACAGGTGGTAGAGCCCAATACTATGGTGCCCGGTTACAGCTGGGGCTATTGCCTCACCATTGACTTCTGAAATAGTCAGATTATAGTCGTCTGCCTCCTTCTTATGCTGGATAAGCTGTGACTTCACGTCAGAGGCACTGAAAGTACCCTCCCGGAAAATCACAGTAGATTCTACCACCACGGAGCCTGACCTGGTCACAGGAAACAGGGAGCTCAACCAGACTATAGCTCAGCATTCCCCACCCCACCCCCATCCCCGACATCACGAAGTCATGAGACTCCACAAGTCAAATCCAGAACTGTACCTGAACTTGATAGTAGAGATCCCCAGAAAATCTTGGTTAAAAATCTGCAGAAACTGGGACAAGAGCAGAAGATTCAGGATTGATATAAAAGATTCACGCAGTCCTGAAGAGCTATGTCAGGGGAATACGTCAGAGACCAGGTTGATACCCACCAACCCAGAAATGTTCCTCTTCAGTTCTTGGTAGTAGCTGGAGCTGGGGTCTTCCAGGGAAGAATTAAACCGGTGGTTCTGAATGTAAAAAGACAACCAGAAGAAGGAGACCCCAACAGACAGCTGGGGTGAACTGTTACTGGAGACGGTAGGGAAGAGTGTTGTGCTGTTGCTGGAGATGGTGGGCACGGTAGGAGAAACAGGGTGCTGACTTGGAACTGAAGACAGAGTGCCATTGCTGCCTGGAGTTGTAGCCATTGCAGAGGTATTATGCACTGGACTAGTAGCTGAGCCCAACACAGAACTGGTAGTTAGCACCGAGGAATCATTGTGCTCTGGAACGATAGCTGAGCCTGATGTAGCCTGAGTAGTAGAGAATGGGGCTCCACTGTAAACTGGAGTGGTGGCCAAGTCTGATTCAGAGCTATTAGTTGTAGTTAAGGTACCATTGTGGACTGGGCTGGTAGCTGAGCCCAGTGCAGAGCTGGTAGTTGGGACCAAGATGCCATTGTGGGTTGGAGTGCTAGCTAAGTCTGATATAGCCTTGGTGGTTTGGATGGAGGCACCACTGTGGACTGGAGAGCTGGTGGGGTCTCCTGGAGGGCTGGTGGCTGGGGACAAACTGCCACTGTGGACTGGAGAGCTGGTGGGGTCTCCT